AAAACTCGTGTCCGCCATCTTGGATTTAGAAATGAGTGCCATATTCGTAATGAGCATCCCCAAATACCTCGAAAAGGATACCCATATAGCATATTTTGAAAAATCGTGTCCGCCATAAGTGCTATATTCCTTTTTCATCGACAAAACCGAGCATATCTGTAGGCACCTGATCGACAATGTCGGGCAAATCTGTAGGCACCTTTAACTTAATGATGAGTTAAGCAAGATACAATTTCCCCACTTTTGAGGGAAATGTTATTCCATGGCATCATTATTTGTATATTTGTGTGCGTGCCGACGAGCGTAGTTACAAGTTGCTTACGCCTACATGAATTTGGTTTTTGCCTCACTTGTGACAGTTCGTTTGATATGAAACTATCATTCTATGCGTTATTATTCTAAGTTTTTATCAATATTTAGCTTAAGAAAAAGTAAATAATCCACAGGTAAATAACCTTGGAATAATATTTCAGTTGTTTACTTATTGTAGTAACAACGTTCAACAGGGAAAGATCAGACAAAGTATCGTAACTCTTACAGACTTTTTATGGTAAGTACCTAAATTAAAATGCAACTTCTTATTCATGTTAACATTTTAAGCAAGATTTTCTTAGTAAATGAAATTGTTTTTTATATTGATTTTTGAAGATCTTAGCAGTAACCTTACATTTGTTCCTACTTCATTATTTTTACTCTTTGTAATCCTCCAAATTATCAATTATAAGTTCATCACTCAATTTATGATCTACGGCGTCATGCTATAATTAAATTATCATACACTAGGTTACAATTTCCCGCCTTGACCAAACTTCAAGGCAAATGTTTACAGCGCCATCTCTTGGCATTCTGCCGATTTAGTTTCTAAACCTGTTTACTTGATGTTATGTCCAAACCACAAGTATTACATGTTGATTCAGAAGAGCTCTTTGAGTTTACTTGCGTTATTCTTTCTTCCACAAGGTGACGGCAGTGAAATTGACAATGACATTATGTTGCACTGGTGATAGTATGTAATGCATTGGCATTATAACACATGACAAGCAAAAAATATTTAAAACAATACATTATAGACGGACGTGCGTGTGAGACTCCTTTTGCGCAATTTACTAGTGAATTCATTAAAGTGACTTCGCACTTTTGGCAGTGTTTGGTAGGTACGTTATATCAAATAATTTCTGTTTATAAAATTGAGTTAATGTGTAACAATAAATAAAAATATATATAAATTAATAAAAAATAAATAAATTGAGTTAATATGTATTAGTAATAATAGCGTGTAATGTGTGTACTTTACAAATATCAATATTACATAATCTGTTTCAAATTATTAATTCATAAATACCTTGTAACTGGAGGTTTTAGTCACGAAAATGAAGTTGAAAAGTATTTTGAAACCCGTGGAAAGTATTTGACATTTAGTATCTAGGTAGGGGAATTTTGGATTTTTATTGCCGTTCCCGATCGAACATATAGAGGTCCCACGGCTATGCGACAAGAAAGGAAATGTACTTTGAACATAGGTAGATAGGATATTTTGCATCATGGAGACGTTATTTTATTTTTAAAACAAGTAGATTTTTAAAAAGGTGCTTGCCGAACCGACCATGTGTGAAAAAAAACGTTGTCTATTTTTATGATGCCCATCGACAGAGTCTAATAAAAGGATTAATTCCTTTTAAGTAACATGGCTCTAAACCCTTACCTTAAAGTATGCCAATCAAAATTAACAAAAGTTGTATAAACTCATACGTTTATCGTGTTTAGTCTACTCAACTCATAAGTTCCACTGCCAGATACGGTTCTCCTCTAGGAAGAGGGTTTAAGCCATAGTCTACTACGCAGGCCTTATGGGGGTTAGGGACTTAACACATTTTCCAAGAATTGTGAACTTTTTCTTCTCTTACAACTGTAGAGCTCCTTGTGAAAGGGTTTGTCCAGGGAAGTAGGTATTGCCACCTTGTCTAATTCTGCCAACAAGTGGTAATGAGAATATTACTGAGTCCCGATTTTGAAAGGAAAGGGTGCTGGTGAAATTACAGGCACATGGACTTTGTCAACTTATGTCTCAGGGTGAACAGGCGCTGTAGCAGTGCGCCTCAGATCTTTGTGATTTAACCTTTTGACCGCCACTGACAAAAACCGGTTTAATTCCCTAGACGCCAAACCTATATAGTGGTGTGATATGTTATGAATTTGCACTTTATAATAATTCAATTATCCTAAGTCAAAGAAGAACGTAACTGAACTTAAAATGCAACTATGAATGCATACTTAACTAGAATATACGAAAATAACACAAGGGATATCTTAATGTTTATTCATTGATTTCATTGAAAATTAAAGGGTTTCATTAACGCTCTAAGGCATTAGTTCCCAAGCTTTTTGCCTTACCGCTCACTTAGGCAAGATACAAAAATTTCAACGCCTACCACCACAACAAATAATTGAAAACACTTATTTATTACATTAACTTAACACAAAAAATCACAAGGAAAAAATGATTTGCGGTGTAGTGAATATAGATAATTCAGATTTTTTTGAAATACGGTAACACCCCTTGGACACCATCAACGCCCCCCAATTGCTTCCGAGGCCCTTACACCCCCTGAGACTTTTCAGCGTCCACTGGGGGGGTGGCAGGCTAGGAACCACTTTGAAAAACTATGCTTTATGGCGTCATTGGCGTATCAGCGAAGTTAATGTAAGACGCTTTAAAGCGTCCATGGCGGCGGTTGTTCGTTCGTCACTTGGGATGATAAAAAAAAGCTTCGGCGTGCAGGTTTCATCACGATGAAATGGTCCTTTACCGTTAGGGAGAGATATTGCTAAACATTCTCAAATGTGCGCAGATAGGCCACCACGGGAATTCAGCTCTGTTTACTAATTAAATTAAATTTTACTTCACCATTTACTTTAATTTTAGTAATTTAATTAATAGTATTTTGTGGTTTTCTGTACGTACCACATTAAGAATTAATGAAGAAAGTCAGAAATATCTTCCAGCCATCCTTATCAGTGATAAAAAGAAGGAAGAGTTTTACGTAACTATATTTTAGATTTAACACCTTTCTTAGGTAGGAACGTGTTATTAAGATTATTATGGAATTGTTTGAATGTTTAGTTTAATCAACATTTTAATATGAGTTTAACAATAATAAATAGTAACGCACTACTTTGAATCTCCCGCCCGCGCCGTTAAAATCACACGTGTAAAGAAATGAAATTTAAAAAATGACTACTTTTCTCTTGCTGTAACTTTATACCTTCTCCGCCTAGGATAAAATATATTAAAAATAATGACATTTCGTTCGGCCTTCTTTATTGTTCACAGCTATATACATATAATTTTTTTGCAAAAATGTCATATGCGCCCTTTCAACTAATGGCGCCGGCGCGCGGCGGCAGTATAAACTGTCACATTTTGGCTTTGCAAGTGGCGTAATGGACAGTTTTTAACCGACTTTTAAAAAGGAGGATGTTCTCAATTCGACTTTTTTTTCTTTCGTTACGTATGTTACGTAAATAACTCCGGTATTTGTGAACCGATTTTGATGATTCTCTTTTTATTGGAATTTTATTAATATAAGAATATTTAATTTTACCTCAGATGTGGTCCCAATTAAATTTGAAGAAAATATTCCACCTCTAAGGGTGGCAAACTATTACTTTTGAGGTTGGGTTTTTTTAGTACTCTGTGGTGTTTTTTGTAATCTATACCCCGAGAAAACCACTGTGCGCGAGCAGCAGCAGCAGCACATACTTTTTGATATAGTTTATCCTTTTTTATTCTTCTAATTTTGCTTTGAGCATATAATTTTGTCCTTTTCATGGTTCTCAATTGTCATGAGCGTAATAATACGTTCGTGTCACGGTCCCAAAGGATTTTTTATTCGTCTCCTTTTTCCCTGTCTTAAACATACTAGGCTGACTTAAACATACTATACTTAAAATCTCGTTAACAGCCACGTTATTGTCCAATTAAACCTATTTACTGAGTCTAGCAGCAACCACGATAAAGACGTATGTAGGGCAAATGCATCTTTACGTATCTTTCTAATAGGTACATTATTAGACTATATACGTACATACATTTTTTAGAGATGTTGGCACTGTTGAGGAGCGTATATGGATTAAAACTGGAGGGAAGTCACGTATTAACGCTGACGGTACCGCAAATAATGTTGATTTGTTTAATTTTACAATGCAAAAATAAATGTTTAATCAATAATGCCGCCATTTTCTTTCCTTCGCTTTGACTCTGTGCGAGGAAGTATTATAGTATATTATATAATATACTTATTTGATTTTATTTGTCACTTGTATAAAAAAAATACAAGTGACAAAAAAAATCACATAAGTATACTTTTTAGTTTACAAACCGTGACCATGGGACCTATAAAGGGCCCGAAACGTCGGTTTGTTTGAAAAAACAAATATACGCGATTTAAATCCGGAAAAATAGTTTCATTTCCTATGTGTAACAATCGCGAAAACCTAAGAACTCGATATATAGTTTTTTATGTTATGTTAAAATTCATTCAGTGTTTACTTTGCGGCTATAACCCAATTTTCAATAAATAAAACTTACGTTTTGAATAGGAAAGTTACGTCAGGATAGCTGTATTTATTTAATATTTAGTAGCAGTAGAGACTCTTGTAAAAGAGTTTGTCCAAGGAAGTAATACTTTACCTATTTCTGCCACCATTGTGAGCAATTACTAAGTTCCGGTCTTGAAGGGTAGGGGTGCTGATGAAATTACAGATAGGTACATGGGACTTGTCAACTTATGTCTCAAAGTGCGCAGTGGCAGTGACCCTCAGATCTTTGTGATTTAAAGCACTGAGTGGCACTGCAACTGTTATGGACAGGCTTGTCGCTTACCACCAGGCGCACGACTGGCTCGTCCTGTCACTTGGTATCATAATAAAAAATTAACATTATAAATATGTTTCCTTCTAGCTTCACTATAAAATGAAGCTGCAATTATTATACGCGGTCTGCCTATTCAACATCTACGCAGAATGCCATGACATCACAAAGAATAACAACTCCTCCAGAGACTTCCCCGCAATGAGATCACAGTATTGGTACAAGATTCGGAAGATGAATGAATACCGCGACCCACCAGATCATACCAAAATCATCGCCATGTCGAGATATGTCCTGCATAATACCAGTAAGTATTTTCGCATTTCTCTTTTGTCATCATAAGATTTTTATATTTATATTTTATTATTATAAGTAAAAGTGTTTAGGGATCGATTTTTTTCTTTTGTTCTATTTTGGCAGCCCCCACCTTTTCAGTATGCGTATTTTACCTTTTCACACCTGCTCAGTTGTTCAGTCCCTCCTGAGCATGATCTACTTTGGCAAGGAGTGCATGCACTAACATACACCGAGCTATAACCCCACCCGGGTTATAGCGCGGGAGCTTATGTCTGTGTGGTGTCTCTCCTCAGACAATGGCACATCTTTTGTCCTGCCCTGCGTGTTCCTACGCCTGCACACGCGAGGACCTGTACAACGCCACTGATAATGTTATCTCAGTCGCTATGTAGGTACTGGTCCTCACAAATATAAACGTCAGAGACGACACGCCAAGAAGAAGTTGTTCAGTAACGTGTGCATAGATGCGATTGTGGCAGATTTTCTGGCTTCCACGTAAAGCAAAAGACGGACTGTCTTGTGTGGTGGTGGCATTAATATTGTCTTTCCACCTCAGTATTGGCTTTAAATCACTATTTCTACTAATTATCTACCAAACTTTTTACAGTGGCGGGTATGTTAGACTTTTTATTCCTTAAACTACGGATCTAATGATTTAAAACGTTAGAGTAGAATTCCCGAGACAAAAATGTGTCTAGTGCTGATTTTTTTTTAAAGTTGCTTAAATTTTCTCAGGATATAGTGAAACAAACATCCTACACCAAAATTAAAAGCATTAGGTACCCAGTTGAGAATTGTGTATTTTATGTGTATGTTGAACGTGAATTCGGCCGTTTTAAATCATATTTGTAAGATAGATTTCAGAGAGTCGATGTCAATGGTACAAGACCATGACGGTTTGCAATTAGCATAGGCGTCCTTCAAGGTTCCATTCCATGGGTCTACCCATTTGCGTTTTTATTTTATATTATTGATTTACCTAGCCTTGATGTTTGTTTTGATTACGGAATCAAAATCAAATTAAGAATTGATTTTTTTTT